TTCCCAGGTTGCAATGGCTGGCTTGTGTTTATTATCTCATCAGACACTTGCAGAGGGTGAACTATTGCAGATTTGCAATGCCACCTATGACATTCGAAATATAACCGAAAACTACGCATTTTTGTGTTTAGAAAATTGCTCGTAAAACGAGTGGTTTTTTCTTAAATCCAACATTTTCCCTTTTTTTGAGAAAAAACAAGCACACTGTCGATTTTTTCCGTAATTTGGGCACTTTACAGACTGAAAATATATTAGAATCAGTAAGTTTAATGAGAAACAAGCTTACTTTCTCTCCCAATTGCCAGAAAATTCGAGTAGCTTCAATTCTCGCGAGAATTATCAATCTTTGCACACGTGCGCTCAGAAAACAGTGGATGCTAGAAAAAATGTATATGCCACAGTTTTTCGTCTTTTTTTTTCTCTATCATCTGATGGAAACAGTTTTCTATTCAGATAATTAGTTTTCGCGTTAATTAAGAAAAAAGTACGAGAAATTAAGAAAAAATTGTTTTGCAATTTTTTTCAAAAAGTTCGGAACGTAACTAGAAAATACGTATTTTTGTCATGCATATATATCTTCTCCCATTTCAAGTTTTCTTGTAAATAACTAAAAACCAGATATTAGAGAACAAAAAGCAAGCTTATCACCAAGTTGGAAGTTACACTCAGGCTTAGGATTAATTTCCTAACATTTTTAAAGTATACCTTTTTGTGTATTTTTTGTGCTTTTTTCGATGGCGAAGTTAGATTTTTCAAATATATTTTTTTTGTTAGATGTTTTCGGAAAACCCGGAAAAAATCATATGGGAAAAAAATTAAAAAAAACTACGCTTTCCGGTTTCCTGCGAATTCCCGAAAAATTATGGCAGATTTCGCCGCGGGACTTATTTTATTTGAGAGCCAACAAAAAAATACGCAACTTCTCTCATGGGCACATATGTCTAACATTTATAATTTCGCCACAAATTCATCGCAAATTTCATGTCCATGGTTCTGATCAAAAAAACGAAAAAACGACTTTTTGGTAAAAGCACTTCTGGCGGCGAAAAAATTGGCCGTTAAAACTACCTGTGCAATGAATTTCCGAACTATTTTGGCCTCCTCTTTCGAATGGTGCATTTATTTTCACTATCGGAATGATACTTGCCCAGATAATTAGCATTTTTACAATGGAAAATTCCGGAAAACCCGGTTTTTCCTAATTTAAAAAAAATTGAAAAACTGCTACATCTTTTTTTCTTTTTTTTTTCGGAAAGATCACATCAAAATACACAAGGTCCTTTTTGTTTCATCTAATTACAAATTAATGTAAGCTCGAAGGGACTTTTTTTCGTTATTTAATTGGACTAATTAGTATTAAGAGCAAACCAGACACCTCGAAAATTTATAATTCATTCTGAGGCTTTATTTTTAGTCCGATGTTTGTGAAATTTTCAGGAAATACCAATAATAACAAAACTTAGGGTATAGAAACCTTTAATTATTTGTAAACCTTCGCAAACTATTTATTTTAAAATTTTTAAAAAGAATTAAAAAAAAAAACATTTACGCACCATTCTGTATTAAATCTATAAAAATTTACTAAAATGGACCGTATTCGAGATATTTGAGAAAATGTGTAAATTTCGACTTTTGAAGAAAACTCAAAAACGGATAAAGAAAAAAACATTAAATTTTAAACTTAAGTTTTATTTTGGCCTGACGTTAAATGATTAGATTTTGGATAAAGTTGGAACATCTGGGGGAGTACTTTATGGGAGGCCGTTTTTATATTTTATGAAATATATCTGTTATTTAGGTTTGGAGAAGAAAATTGTTCAAATAAAAGTTACTTCTAATATTATCTATAATTTTTGCTTTATATCAAAATTTCCTGAAATGGTCCGTATTCGAGAAATTTGACAAAATGTACAAAATTCTGATTTTTATGAAAATTGTTGAACTAAAAGTTGTTTGAGATACCGATCTCTATAATTTTTGTTTATAAATGATTTTTCTAAAATGGACCGTAATGGAAAAATTGTACGAAAATTGCTAAATTTAAATTTTTCAGTATTTTCGTTTTGAATGAAAATCTATAGAAAAATGTTTCGCGGTAGATGTATGTGGAAAATGTATATATTTAGTTTATTCTCTAAATATTTATAGAGGTGCTGCAATAGGTTGTACAAAATAACCGGAAAAAGCCTATAATAACTAGACAGGAAAGTCATGTGTTGGACACATCAGATTTTTGTTTTAATAAATATCTAGTAGTTTTTAAATGGAATGCTTTCCCACCTTTTTTTCTTAAACGTCTCTGTAGAGTGCTACCTTATCGTTGCACAAATTTGAAGCTCTTAATATTGTCAAGACACATAATATCACAAAGTATTCCCAATGGCACACATATAAATACAATTTTATATTACAAAATCCTTAAAACATTTTTGCTTTCGCGAGAGGTCTGGTTTCCTCTTAATGTGTATTAAAATCATACAAAAGAAACCTTGATTACTTAATTGATTCCCTAAATTTTATTAATTTAAATGATAGCATTCCAACTAGAGTGCAGAATAATTCAAGAACTTTAATTGATTATGTTTTGTTAAATGATGGATACTCCAGTAATTTGGCTGTTATTGATTACTGTTTAAGCGATCATAGAATACAGATATTGTAAGAAAAACAATGCAATTCAATTAGCAATGAAAAATATTATGAATGTTTTAAGTTAAATAGGTTAGCATGTAGAAAAGATCTTCAAGGTATAATTAACACTGTGTGGCAGGTTCCAAATGTCTTGTGTGATCAAATAGTGAGAACAGTTCAAAGCAATACCACCTGTAGGACATATAAAGACCGTTTTAGAACTAAAAGTTGTCCATGGTTTAATATTCATTTGCGTAACCTAATCAAGCACAGAGATACGTGTTACAAAAGGCATAAGTTTTTCCCAATAGTGCTCTGCTTCACAGTGAATACAAGAAAGCAGCTATATCTAATGCAATAAAACAATATTATCACAATCAGCTAACAAGTGCCCTAGGTAATCCAAGAAAAATATGGTCAGTGTTAAACTTAATTTATAATAAAATATCAAAGCAACAAAACACAGTGAATAAACTGCAAGAAGATGACTCTATAGAAGTTCCTAAGAAAATTGTAGATATTCTTAACACCCATTTTACAGAAATAGGTAAAGCCTTGGCAGAAAATATACTGGAGTCTACTTACATGAAACCTACAGTTATAAACTGTCAACAAACTATATCAATGGGAGTTAACTATCTCTCAAGAAATTAACAAAGTAATTTTAGAGTTAAAATAGAGAAAAGCTTGTGGTGCTGATGATATTTCTGGGGACTTGAGCAAACATTTCAAAAACGAGATGTAGGTTATCTTAAGTAACCTAATAAACTTCAATTTTCACTCATGCTTCAATTTCCAATGAACCAAAAGTAGCTAAAGTTTTACCATTATTTAAAGGAGGGCTAAGAACTTCCACTAATAACTACTGACCCATATCTCTATTAAGTTTTATCTCCAAAGTCCTGGAAAAATGTATTAATCAAAGGCTTGTTTCCTATCTTGAAAAAAAGAATTTTTGGTACAAGGGACAGTATGGTTTTCGTAGTGGAGGTAGCACAACGTCGGCAATCACAGATATGATTACCAACATCATACATCATGTGAATGAAGGCAATGCATGTATCATTGTTTCACTTGATTTAAAGAAGGCATTTGTTACTGTTAATTATCTCATCTATTTTGGAAAGAGATAGAGACGAAATAAAGTATAGTATAGAGCAAGATCTAATTCAAATTCTTCAGTGGTTAAAGTTTCATGAATTAACTCTGAATACTAAAAAGTTAAGGTTTTTAGTGATATCAAAAAAGCCTGAATGGAACCAATTCCAAATAAATATAGACAATGAACAATAGACTAGGACAGAATGCATTAAATATCTTGGCTTATACATAGATTCCAAGCTCAACTGGGAACATCATATTGCTCAATTGTAAAAAAAAAAATTAATCCTGCCATTGGAGTAATGGAACATGTTGCCTGCTACCTTTCAGCTGACTTAAGAAAGACTCTGTATCATTCCCTAATTCATTCACATCTATCATATTTAACTCTTATTTGGAGCAAAACTTTCCAAAATAGACTAAAACCCTTGCAAATTCTACAGAATAGAGCAATCAGAAAAGCTTTTCAACTTCCTTTTTGTCATCCTACTGATCTTTTGTATCATCCAAACAATATTCTAGACATTCAGTCCCTCTCTAAATATCAGACTTGCATTTTTATTCATAACCTATCTCTGAATTAATATACACTCATCCATACAACTGACTACTTCCTATGATATCCATAGATATAATACTTGAAATAATTGCTGCTTCAGAACCACATCCGTAAGAACATGCTTTGGTGACCGAAGCATACTATCTGATGGTCTAAGACAATACAATGAGCTTCCTAGCACCATAAAGTACATAAGGACTGACCTCTTTAAAAAAAAAAAACTAAAAGCTCACTTAATAGAATTTTTTTAGTTGATATCTTCATGTTTAAATAGAGTTTAAGTAATAGTGTGATATTAAATTACTGTATATATATATTTTTTAATTATTATTAGTTATTTTGTAGTAGTATTGTTATTATTATAACTAAGACCCACATAGTCTTAAGCTCTTTTTTATTAATAAACTTGATGGAACCTTATATTAATGATCTATGGTTAAATAATAGAAGTGTTATATTGAAATGACTCCAGCAATTTACTTTCCCTCCAATTATTAAGTTTTCACTAGATAATAAAATTAAATAGAATATTACTAATAGAAATAATGCTTGTCTCAGTTTTCATGATTCTTGTAAGAATTGAAACTTAACAGAGTTTATCACTAACAAATTATAAATAACACAGTGAAAGACTAGTAAAAATATTTTGTATCCTGATTTCCTACATTTAATAATATATTATAGGTATATAAGTAATAGATCACTGTACCTTGTTCTGTTTTAGTGGCAGGTTTCCAATTTTCAGCACTTATAATAGGTAGACAAACTTGACCCTTCTCATCAATGTTTGGATGATAAATTTTAGTTTTAAAATTTATTTTTGGTGGTTTAAAGGGATATTCTGCGGGAAAGTTAATTTCTATCTTAAAAGCTCCTTTGTTGTAAGGCGGACTATCCTAAAAGAAATTCGACCTTCAGACAGGTTTTTGACTTATTTTTAGTTAAGAGACCTTACCGGAACTATAAGACCTTGCCAAGTTAAAATATTGGTTTCATCCACTTGAATATCACGGAATGATTTTAGTCCTGAATTTCTAATATCTCCTAGTTCCTAAAATAAGATATACAATTTATATTATATTTCTATTGACATTTTTTGAACATGCATCTTAATGACTCACCAATATTCAAGAAATAGCATTATGTTACCGATAAAAGCCGTATAAAATGAATTGATTTTCAATTTATTTTTCAATAATGGTGTAAAACATTTGGCAAGCATTTATGATAGTTATTAAATTTAATATTACTCACTTTTTGTAATCTTCTGGTGGCTGCCATTTTGTTGGATCTTTTGGCAACTCACGTCTAAAATATATGTACAAACTTAAGATGAATTAAATAAGTAAAACGGTGAAGTTACAGTTAATTTTAACATCAACAATCAAAGGAGCTCAAACGGAGTTTTTTTCATCACTATCCAATTTTTTCTAATTATTGTTCTATATCTTATGAATTTGACACTCCTCAATGACATAACCACTAGCGCTATCTATCATTTTAAACCGTAAACGGTAATGGCAAATGGCAGTGAGTTCCTACCAGCGATATAAATATTATAGACTGTTCACTTATTTGAAGGTTTTTAAAAAACCTTTCAAATAAATTGTTGTTTTTCTTAAAAATATTTTAAAATTCGTGAGTAAAATGTGAAAATCAGTAACAATTTGATAGCCTGGGTAGGTAGATTTGTATTTTATTATTTCAATTTATTTTAAATCTAATAAATAATGTGAATGTGTGTATTGTATCCTTCAGAGTTATAGCCGAGATGGGGTCTATTCTGTAACAATTCCTTTATATTTAACGGCCTTTAAAAATATTGGCGGCCTATAAAAATATGTTCGTATTCGTTAATTTACTTCTGTCCTATGCTTCTGTCATTATTTAAACAGATTTCTTTAAGATAGTCCTCTAATGTATTTTAAAGATCCGTTTAAATAATGACAGAACAAGAAGAAAATATTTTTAAAGGCCGTTAAATATAAAGGAATTGTTACAGAATAGACCCCAATACCGATCAAGGAGAAGCGACAGTAGCTGTCGGTGCCTTTGATATCGGATGGACCATTTTCACAGCATGACTTTGATTAATACACAACTTAATACGCTGAAAAAACATGCTTATTTTCTACACTGAGCGAAATAGTTTGACAAATTATCTGAAATCATTGTTATAGTCCATGTGGAAATGTTGTAATGTGATTTAATTACATTTAAGTAGTAAGGGGTTAGTAGCAATGGTGAAATTTCGGCACCAAAATATAATTAATTATGTAATAATTAATTATTTGTTATAAAAGTAAAAGACGTTTATTATTTTATACATTATCTATAAAATTTGTTTAATATTTGATTTATTTATTGTTAAAAATGTAATAAAAGCCCCATATTTAAATTAAATTACCTTTTCCTTAAGTAAAAATAAGGTAAATACAATTTAGGGTACCAAAAAAAGTTAGGTAACAATTAAAAATACATTTAGTTTGAGAGGTTTAACTAAATATTTGCAATGTGCTAATAGCTTTTAGGTTTACATATTTTTAGATTTTCTGGATTTATATTATATTAAAAGGACTTTTAAGTTTCCCAGGGAGCAGACTGACGGCATTTTGACGACATTTTCGGTAATTCTTGGTCATCGACGTCATGTTACCAAAAAATAACGTGATTATGACGTCTCTTTTTTAACGTCTTTTTAACGTCATAAATTTGACTTCAGTGTGACGTCAATTAATCGTCACTATTAAATTAAAGTATACATTAAACGTGATTTTGATATTTATTTATGGCCTAAACAAGTATTTTTTAAAACTTTTAGGTATGTTAACGTTTAAATCTGGCGCTTAAAATGCTTAAAGAATTTATGACACCACGTGGCTGCGTCTGTCTAGTCATTGGTCTGTGGAGTATGGCTCGTGTGCGTTCGAGCCGTTCGAGCAAGCACGAAAAGGGCATTGCGGATTGCTATTGCTGCTTCGCCCATGTGTATTGTGTAATGGTATATGGTATGGTGTGTGCCATGTGGATCGTGGCCGTCGTTAAAAGTTAAAAGTAAAAAAAGTTATATCAATATGCCTTTTAGTATTTATTTATCTATAATTTCCCTATTCTTTAATGATTTTGGTATCTACTATATTCATAGACTCTTTCCTAAAATGTTCCCAGGTTCGTGAAATAGTATAAAATGGCGGCACTCATAGAAATATTAGAAATTAATTCTGTCCGTAGTCTTCATAATTGTGCCAAAACCAAAATAATAACGTACAAGTTGACCACATTTGGAGTAGTTGGATTTATATAAATTAATGTTTCTTGCCGATAATGTATTTAAACTGTTTTTTTCTTTTCAATCATAATTATTTCATTTTATAATTTTGTTTTATTAACTGACCCACAATCCCTATAGAAAAGTTACAAAGGAGTAACAATATCAAATATAACGTCATGGTGATCTTTAAATAACAATAAAAGAACGTTAATAAAACGTCATTAGGACGTTATAAAAACTACTAAGATAAAGACGTCATATTTAGACGTGAAAAGGACGTCTAAATATGACGTCATTTGGGGTCTGACATTTTACCGTCATCACGTTAGTTTTCAGAGGATAAATGACGTCGGGTATGACGAAAATAAGATGTCATAATGACGTCAGTCTGCTGCCTGGGTTATTACTCATTTATGTAGAAACAAGTGTTTTCTCGCAAAGATGTCATTTAAGGTTTATGTATTTAGAATTAAATACCTGGCCCGGCTATCACCCAGACAATACAAATATGTCCATAGGACGTCCATTCGATATACAATTTTGGATGTCTAGAAGTCCAAAAATGAGTTTTTTTCTGGTCTTCCGACATCCAATGAACGTCCAGTGAAGTATAAAAATGGCACACTTTTGACCATTCAGAGGACGTCCAATTCTGGAATATAATAAAATAATATTTTGAATATGGTTCGCAATTCCAAATATTATTCAATAATTTTAGACTGTACACCGGATACAAGTTATACAGAGCAAATAAGCCTCGTTTTACGTTATGTCGTTCTAAACGACATTTCTAAAAAGGCTCAAATACAAGAGAGTTTCATAGCGTTCAACCCAATATCCGACTCGACAGAGGAAGGGCTATTTGATTTTGTCGTTGGACTTTTGAAAAATTTGAATTTAGATATTAAAGACATGAGAGGTCAAAGGTATGATAATGGGGCAAATATGCGTGGAAAACATACTGGTTTACAAAAACGCATACTCGATGCTAATCCCAGGGCATTTTTTGTGCGATGTGCTGCACACAGCTTAACTTTAGCAGTAAATGATGCTGCTAAAGTTTCAAATTAAACAGTTAACTTTTTTAATATTGTACAAGAACTTTATGTATTTTTCTCTTCATCCACAAAAAGGTTGGATATTATAAAAAAGATTGCCCCGAAGTTAAATCTAAAACCCCTAAGTGATACTAGATGGTCAAGTAGGATTGATGGTGTAAGGCCGCTAAAGTTTCATTTAATTCAAACTAGAAATAGCAGAAAATGATACTTTTATTAACTTAGAACTAAGCATTAAGCAAGTTCTATGCTATTAAGTATCCAATCTTTTAAATTTATTTGCAGTGTAATAATTTGGTATGATGTTTTATTCCAGATTGGCATTGTAAGCAAAATGATGCAAAGTGTAACCACTGATATTAAAGTATGCCAAAACTATTTAAAGAATCTAGTTGATAATTTTAAAAATTATTGAGATCATAATGTTTTCGAGGAAAAGCTTGCTCAAGCTGGAGAACTAGCAGCCGCTCTTGAGATAGAGCAAGGTTTTCCTCCATTAAATACTGTTAGACGAAAGTATAAACCAAAACTGTTCGATTATGAACAGAGAGATGAGACACCTCAAGATCCAAAAACAGCATTTAAAATAAACTACTTTTTAAAAATAAATGATCAAACACTAAGTTCTTTAAGGCCAAGTTCAATTTCGTTTGACATATAATCACGATATTTTTTAGGTTAGAAAATTGCATTATCGATTTTTTTCATTCGAAGTAATAAAAGACGTCACTTTAAATTTTTATCTCTTTGTCAGCAAATTTGTAACACGATGAATTTATAAAGCGTTTGTCACTATTGAATATGTGGCGGCAACTGACGGCAACACTGTCAGCTACTCCATGGCTACTATATTGCTGCGTTTGAGAATCCACATCGGATGCATCTGAGATGTAAAAAATCTTTGATCACGTGATTCAGTATACGTAAATGTAATGGGACAGATGTGTCCGATGTGGATAAAAAAACGCTCGAGATGTAAAAAATGCATCCGATGTGGATTCTCAAACGCAGCATATATATAAGGTTTGTTCGGGTTTCTTTAAAACTCGATGCAAACCGTCCGAGAACCAGTGGAACAGTTGAATTCCAAATTATTCGTCGCGTACAACTATTAAACTGTCCACTGGTCAACTAGTTCTCTGATAGTTCTAAAGGTATTTTTGAAGAACCCGAACAGACCTAGTGGCTATAGAGTACATACAGGTCCGGTATAAGCCATGGAAAATAATAATTTAATGTTTTGATGGAGTTAAATAAAATATCAAAATTAAATGTTTATTTTTAAATAAACGACATTTTTAAATGTATACGTCTTCAATCAAAAATAATATAGGCTAATACTCAAGTGTATTATACGAGTGTACTGGACAAGAGATAATTTTACCCTTTACTCCAGTTTTTTGTAATGAAACTAGCGGTAAAATAGATATTTGTGTACCAAGGCTGTGTTTTGGCCGAATTAGACATATGCGTTCAAGTCTAAGCTAGTCTGGTTAAGTATAAAAGTAATAGGCAAGAAACGGGTGTTCAATCAAACTTGACATCGAGATAGATGTCACATAAGCAGGTGTACTGAAGATGAACTTAGTAGGACCAAGCATCAGATAGGTATAACACTTGATATTCTGAAAACTATGTGGATACTACACTGAATAAGAACGAATGGAAGTGTCAGAAGGAGGCTAAAGGCAAAAATAAATGGAACAGAGCCTAATAGATAGATAAATAATATTTTAGCCAGGAGAAAGTCGATGAGTGTTATAAATGAATGTATTTTTAATGTATAATTTCAGTTTATTTTCATTTTTGGTATAAAACTTTGGCTGACATAATAAAACACTTAAACGTATATATATTTTCAATCTTTATTACTATACATTATTTAGTATTCATTTATTCTCTCTGACCTAGGGAAAAGGTCAAAAAACCCTGGTCATAATTGTTTACAATGTTGCGTGTTCCTAATGATACAAAACATTACAGAGGAATGATACTTAGGCGATTAAATCTCATCGAGTTCACGCATGACATATTGTGGTATGGAATATGGCTATCTCTGATGCATCTGCAGATTTAAATTTATTTTTGCGTACTGTTTTCTATCAACTGATACCCCAAATTTATACAAGCCACGTCTTCGCACCACAAT